CCTTGTTTAGCAATTCCTGCTTCTGGGTTGCCCTGTATGCAGATGGATGTAGCTTCCGTTCTTTCTCTCTTGCCCCTGCAATTTCTTTTCATTGGGCCAGGTGGTGCTAGGTTTCAGGTCCTGGCTCGGCCTTTTTCTTTGTGTTCCTTTTCGGGCGGTGCATTTTTGTTTTCGTGCTGTTCACAGCCTAGTTTGTTGTCCTCATACCTTCCTCGTTATTGCGTACTTTGTTCTGCTCTGCTGGGGCTTCGTTCGCCGCTGCTGTGGTTTGCAGTGTTCCTGCTTTTTGCTTTGCGTTTCGGTTCGCAGTGTTTGCTTCCTCGTTGGCCCAGGCCTGGGTCCCCTGGCTCTTCGTTTTTCATTGCAATTTTGTCCTTGCTGTTTGCTGCATTTTTTCTGCTGGCGGCTTCTAGTTGTCAAACTTGTTGGTCCTTCTTGGGTCCCGGGGGGTTCCTCCCGGACGAGGCGTATCTGCTCGCCCGGATTGGTTCTTGACCAGCTTGCCAGGTTTGGGTTCCTGCTTTCCTGGCTTTCCCTGCTAGTTGGTAATTTCATGATCTCGCGGCATAACTTCTCACGAGTCTTGCGTCAGAACCACAGTGCTCCTGGTGAGCTCGCTAGCATTATGAAGTTTTCTGTATGACAGACGTTCCATCTGGTTCCGTGCCGGCTTTGGTTTCCAGCTTTGGTTTCCGGCTCTGCCTGCTCTGTGTTTGCACCCGAGGTTTTCCCACGGCTCCGCCTGTTTCTATGCTCGATTGGTCTATGGCGGGGCTGGTTCGGTTCTGCCTCGAGTGTCTCACCATCTGTTGGTGATCAGGTGGCTTCGTTGATGGTGTCCCACCTGCATGCTTCGTCTCGGTGGTGGTTTTTTTTTTTTTTTTTTGGCGGTCCTTCTTTTTTCTTTTTGTTCCCTATTAGGTTTGTTGCGTTTTGTTGGTGTGGTCTTGTCCTTCTCTTGTGGAGGTTCAGGGCCGTCATCTTGCCATATACTGCCGTCTTGTCTCGTGTGGCGCTGGTGAAGCCGCTCCGGGTGGCTTCGATTTTGGTGTTACCTCTGCATCAATTCGCGAGCTGTCTCTGGCGTGATTCACCTCCGGCCTGCTCTTGCGCCGCTTGAGCTGCCCTAGTTCTTGGATTGGGTGCTCTCTTCTCGTCGCCTCGGTTTGTTGTGGCCCCTTTTGTTCTGGTTTGTTTTCCAAGACTTTTTCTTGTTGGCATTGTCCCCTGGGGGTCGGGGTGCTTCATGCTCTCTTCCGGCGCCTGGGTTTCGGCTCTTTTGGTTCTCCTGGTAGATTTGTTCGCTTGCAGCCGTCTCCTTCTTTTCTGGCGAAGACTGACACGGTTGCTTTCCGGAGGGGTCCTTGGGTTGTTGATGCTTGGTTGGTCTGGCCGGGGGTGCATCATGTGTTGTGTTCGGTTGTGGCAATTCGCCGTTCCTTGCATGCCACGGCGGCCATAACCAGGGTCACTCTTAGGGTTGTTCCAGTTTCCCTTCTTCCCTGTTCCAGGGTGCGGTTCTCTCGGGTCGTCCACAGGGTGGTTCGGTCCTGCCGGCCTGCTGTCTATCCCTGTGTTGTTCGTGGGTTGACTATGCGTTCCTTCGTTGATGTTCCTGGGCCTTGTCGGGCCTGTGTGGCCTTGGGTTGGCAGTTGCGGTCTTTTGTCATAATGTGTACATTTAGTGTAATAACACTACAAACAGTATACTTGAAGGAGGCATGTTAGTTCATCTGGCCTTAAACCAGTGAGGGAGGGAACATCAGTTGTGTGTGGCCACCTGTTACTGTTTGCCGTCACCATACAAGCTTTAATGGTTCGCTGTGGTGAACACACATGTCCATACTTATATATAACGTGTATATGTAGTGTAATAACAGCAAAAGGAGTGTTGGGAGAAGCCATTTTGGTGAGGGAGGTGGCAACATTTTCCTGACTTGTCATGCTGTGTAAGGGTGGCCACTATGCTCTTTGTGCACTATGCCAGCTTAGACGAACAGTTATGGTGAACAAAACATGTAGATACTTATATATAGCATCTGTATATAGTGAATAAAAGCAAAAACAGTATGGAGGAGGATGTTGGCAAGTGAGGAGTTTTTGAGGGAGGGAGTGGCGGCGAGTGGCTGGCTGGTGTGTGGTGGCCACTCCTCATTGCTTTTTGACTCACCATATCAACTTAGTGGTTCGTTATGGTGAACAAAACATGCAGATACTTGTATATAACCTGTGTATATAGTGTAATAATTGCAAAAGTATTTGTTCATTGTTTTATGAACATAATAATTGAATCAATAAAATATGCACAACATAATTTTGAGTACAGCGATGATTCGCACATTATATTATGTTGTTGAATATGACCGAAAAGGTAAGATTAATAATTCTAATACAAATTTTCTCAATATTTCTTCTTCTTATTTGAAGAAAAACATAAGAAATATTGAGAAAATTCGTGATAGAATTATTAATCTTACCTTTTCGGTCATATTCAACAACATAGGTTTACAAGAAAGACTGCTACCAAAATATACTAACATTTTATTATATAAATATATCACAGTACACACTATTGAATAATATTACTGCAAAAAAATATAAAAAATCAGAGACATTGAAATAATTACGTAATTATATCTTTGTGGCAACTCCCGCGTGACAGCTCAGGCGGAGCAGACCGCCTCTGACCCTTGCTCTGTCAACGCCTCTTTTTTGCCAAACTTCCCCCGCCCTATTGTGGCCAAAATATGCCATTTATGATATTTTTTATTATTTTTCCCGTGATTGGGGAACACTAATGAACACTTTTATAAGACAAAATAATTTTTTTTTTGTTGTTGTTGCGCCTGTGGATGTTGAAAGCCAAATAGCCCAGAGCAGCTTAGGGGTTAACCAGTGCACTGCTCTGCATTAAAATATGACAAACCCATGGTGTGCCAAAAATAAAGTCTTTCCAAAAAATTATTTTCTCTTTTTATATTGTTAAAATACAAACTCTAGTCACAGGAAACTAAAAAAAAATATTGTATGTGACATACTTTAGCCGTGATGGAGCTGGGAAGTTGAGCAAATTATGAATGATGGGGCGCTCGAGGTCACTAGGCCCCGCCACCCCTTGGGGTGGCAGTTGCCGCGAATATAATGTTTCACAATTATTTTGATGTTTCTTACTGTTTGCCGTCACCATACAAGCTTTAATGGTTCGCTGTGGTGAACACACATGTCGATACTTATATATAATGTGTATATGTAGTGTAATAACAGCAAGAGGAGTGTTGGGAGAAGCCATTTTGGTGAGGGAGCGAAACATCGAAAACAGCGAAACATCGCTGTTTCTTCTCTGGTTTTTTATGTAATATTATTCAAAAGTGTGTAATTCGTGGAATTTATGTAGTTCAATAACTGGAACATCTATATGCTAAAAATTATGAGGCTCATATATGTGACATATAAGTATTCTACGATCAATCAAACAGTGTTTTTGCTGTTATTACACTATATACACATACACAGTATATACCTATTTACATACGTGTTCACCATAGCAAAACACTAAGTTGGTATAGTGAGCCCAAACAACAAAGAGTGGGCTGCCACACCAAGCCAGCCCTCCCTCACTCCTCCAACACCTTACTCACCAACATTACTCCTACAATACTATTTTTGGTTTTATTACACTATATACACACATTATATATAAGTATTTACATGTTTTATTCACCATAACTATCCAATAAGCTGGTATGGTGTCGAAACAGCAGAGTGACCACCATATACTGCATGACGATAAGTCACAGCTGCCAGCAGATGATGCTACCTCCCTCACCAAAATGGCTTCTCCCAATATACTCCTTTTGCTGTTATTACACTTTACACACATGTTATATATAAATTTACATATATGTTCACCATAATGAACCACTAAGTTGGTATGGTGAACCCAAAACATGAAGAGTAGGCTGCCACACCCAGCCAGCCTTCCCTCACTCCTTCAACACCTAAATCGCTAACATCCCTATTCCCACAATACTGTTTGGTTTTATTACACTATATACATACATGTTTTATATAAGTATCTACATGTTTTGTTCACCATAACTGTACAATTAAGCTAGTTTGATGTCCAAACAACATAATGGCAACAAAAAACTGCATGACAAGTGACACAGACAGCAGACGACGCTAGGAGACAATGCCAACTCTCCCTCCCTCCTCACCAAGATTCCTCTACCCCACTATACTACATACAGCGCTAATTCTCACCACAATCCTGCTATTATCAGAATCCTGATCACTAAATCATGTAAATGAATAATTTTCCACAAGTGCTGTGGAAGCGCAAGCGAAGTGCTGTGAACATCTTGAACAGCATTGATTCACTGATATCTGAACATTGTACACAGTCTTTATCACAGTCGGGCTCTTCTGTAATACTATCATGGCTAAATAATACCAGAATCACATATATTTTGACATTCTTAGGGGATGCTGTGGTCACAAGCTGAACAGCAATGCTGTTAGCTCATGCTGTATGCACAAATCTTGGTTGCTTGCTCAGTACTGAGGCTCTCACACCTGGGAATGTTGCCCATGATTTAAATAAAAAATTGTGTGTTTACTTGAACCCCGAGGAAGGAGATGTGAACCCCGTATAGCCCCGGGAGTTTTGAATGCTACGTGATGCCTATGAGCGTCCTGAGGTGCCTTGCGCACCACCGATCTAGTGCCTCAAGGCACTTTGTACTGTGCAATGGTCAATTTAAGATTTTTGTATGTACTGCTCATTTTATCTAAAAGCCTTTACATACATAAAGTACATATAGAAAGGATAGCACATAAAGTGATATAATACAGTATATGGTATGACATTAGTGTAATGTATTGCTGAAGCTTGCCATTATAAGCAAGTGGATATGAATGATTTCAGGAGATTTTTTTTGTCATATCAATGTGAAAAGTAAGAATATTATATTAATATTTTTCTTTGTTGTTTGTGGCAGGAGGAGGAGGGCGGTGGAGCCAAGAGGAGAAGAGTGGAGTAACTGAGGGTGAGGTAGTGAGAGCATCACATTCTGTGGCCATCACTAATGGTGTGGTAGCAGTTAATGGTATACACAAGGCACAGGCAGGACACCCTCTGCAACCTGTTGGAGTCACATCTCAATCAGGTGAAAGACATAGTGAACAATCCCTGCTTAACAATAACTTAATTGAGGAAAAGTGTAATCTTAGGTGTGTTGATGAAAAGTCTTACTGCCTTTATCACAAGTTTCCAGCCAAAGTGAATAATAATGTGTATCCTGAGAAGGGAACCTCTGTCAAGGATGGGATGGATGAATATTTCCAAATGCACGCCTCTCGCAATCCCGGCAGGCAGCTACCGCAGCACCAGCAGCAGCCCTCGGCCAGACGCAACGAGTTAAGTCCAAGTCGGGATGCTTCGAGATATAATGATCAACTCAATCTTCTCAATGGTGAGGAGGAGGATGAAGATGACGGCTGTATTTATACATATAAGGGGGAAAATTTTGAGGCTAATCTTTCCCATCTGATTGATATGTGCCTGAGCTGTGGCTTGCCAAACACAGAACGAAATGCCGATGAACGTGGAGCGTTGGCGCACAGGTTACGCTCTGTACGGCAAGACCCGCCCGAACAGAACAACCTATTTTCTCCAGATATGGATTTTTTAGAAATGGATTTTGACCCAGGGCCTAATGGTGATGGGGATATAGACTCTGACTGTGAAGATAATTGTGTCGATGAGTGTGATAGTAGATTATTAAATAGAGAACATGCTGCTGCCTTTAGTGTTGCTGGTGCTTTGAATCCTATAAGTGTTTTAGATAGAAAAGCTAATAATTATTGCTCCGAAATGAGAAACCTAATGTGTAAAAGGTGTGAGTCTAGTATATGTGATGGTAAAATTGACAATGTGGCCTTGAATTTGAGTGTACATGAAAATCACTCTACACTTAATATTGGGAGAGGTCCAGATTCTGGTTTAGATGACAGACCAGGTACAAGAAATAGTCCGTTAAATGTGCCAAGAAATGGAATGAATGTCCCAAAAGATTTGAATGTAGAACTAAATGAATTCTGTGATGTAAGAGGTCAGGTGATGGATATGCCTGCTCCTCTGGCCCAAGATGATGAATACGACCCACCTGATAATGACAGTGTGGAAAATAATTTGGGCGACGCCGATATTATGGATATGATTGATGACTTTTGTGAAGATGCCGACGATGAAGACGGTGACGACAGTAATTCCGAGAGATACGAATTGGGAACGAGATTTTCTCGGCCCGGTGGAAGTGGTGACGCAACATTGCGAGAAAGAGAAGACCGAGGACCAGGACATGGTAGCTTTAGCAAAAACATAAATAAAACTACTAATAAAGCCAATAATAATAATCTTGGTTCTGTCTCTGCACCAGAAGTCAGCCCAGCCAAAGAATACAGTCCTCTGGAAAAGTTTGGTCGTAGCATCAGTTTCCATAACCAGCTATCAAGTCCAAAATATGAGAATGTTTGTTTTTCTCATCGACCAAAGAAAGCAGAACGGCCTTGTGAAGCTCAGACGGTGAGAGCCGTTCCACTAGAGGCAGAAACTGCTAACCTTGAGGCGTGTGCAGGCAGACTTCAGCGACGCGAAAACTCAGTCTTCAACATCCTCTCTGATCCATCATCCTCTCAGGTACTATTCTTAGAATTAGTACATTTTTCTTCATTAATATTAAAATATATATATATATATATATATATATATATATATATATATATATATATATATATATATATATATATATATATATATATATATATATATATATATATATATATAATATATATATATATATATATATATATATATATAATGTCACTTAATTCATATTTTTTTCCCCACTTGCAGTATACATTAGTTGTATATGTGTATGTCAGCATGGTATGTTCCTGGTATTAGGTACTGTATATTAGTCTTGGTTTACCAGAGACAGCATGAACTTTTCTTTTTGACATCAATAATGGTTCTGTTTTACCACAATGTGTCCACACCAAAACATAATTGTCTGCTCAATCACAACATACCAGCTACGGGTTTTTTATGTTAAAACATTAACACTATCGAGCGCGGCGTGTGAGCGCCACAGCCTTTGATGTCATGGGGCGGATGTGCGGGCGAGCGTGCGTTGACGCCTAAATGTGTGTATTCGTTTCCGTTTTCTCACCTTAATTCTCGTGCTACGTCGTTCATTTTGGTATCATTGTGTTCGCAATTAAATTCCCTGCAGGTGTATATGCATATAATGTCCAAAAGCCTGGCGAGACTCCCAGAAGCAAAGCCTAAAGTTACCCGTGAACGAGCACCAATTTGCACACCACAACCAAATGTGTATACTTGTTCAGTTTGATAACATCAATTTTCATGTTACATCGCTCATTTTGGTATCAAATTGTTCGCAATATAAAGGCGTGCATTGTAAAACTAGTCTCATAATAATAGAGCAATAACTGGAATTTTAACAAATATTTTAATTTTGGAAGCTCATCATCATCACAATTATTTATATCTTTCCAGTGTTCTGACATCAATTTTTGTGTTACATCGCTCATTTTGGTATCAAATTGTTTGCAATCTAAAGGCACACATTTTAAAACTAGTCCCATAATAATAGCACAATAAATAGAATTTTAACAAATATTTTAAAATTGAAAATTTAGACCCAAAAACGTATTTATAATCTTGCAAGTGTTCTGACATCAAGTTTCATGTTACATCTTTCATTTTGGTATCAAATTGTGTGCACTCTAAAGATGCTTATTTTGAAACTATCCTATTACAACATCCAACACCCTGATTCAACATCCTGAGGTCGATCTGATAAAAAATGAATTTTATACATATATTTTTGGAGTGGACTTGAGTCCTGTCCACGGCTAGGACTTGAGAGAAAAAAGTGGACGTGATCGGTGTCCAAAGTGAGCGATAGTGTTAATGTTATTTTAATAACCCAAACAAATATTACAGTTTCATTGTATATGCTGGGATCTTGATAATGATCTTAAGACATTTTGTCTTGGGAGCCTCCAGTGGCTCCCTGAAGCTATCTTGCTGTTATTGCTCCATGCAAATGGATTACACCAACACAGAAGTTGTGTTTGGACTACTGGGGACCACAGCCAAAACCTGGACCCATAACAGAAAGTGAGCAACACTTCCTCACCCCACTGGAAAACTATCCAGAAAGTCAGTGAAGCTTAACAAGCAATTAAAGGCATAACAATGACCCAAGCCTCAAAATCGCCAAAAACTCTGCAAACGATTCATAAAAAACAAGAGAAACATTCAAAATTAGTGCAAGACTCATAGTACCTAATGCCACCACCAGGTGGCCCGGCTTCTGCACAAAGCCATTTTCTTTGCTCTGTTCATTTGCTGGTATACAGCTGACCAGTACTGTTCTGGCTCTTTCACATGTCACAAGCCCCTTTGCTTCAAGCTATGTGGTGGCCATCCTTGGACTTGTTACTATTGTGGCCATTTACTTTATATGCTGTTCTATATTTTAGTTTTCGCTGCATGTGTTTTCTATCCGGCTTGTTGTGATGGCTAGGCTTCTGTTATGCTTTGGACTACATGCACTCTGGGGTCCTTCATTGGGTGCCCGATACCACTTCTTCTGCACTGACAGGTACATCTTGTCTGGTGTATTCAAGAGTTTGTCCCCTGAGAGGCCAGGCCACTGGGGTGGAGAGCCTCGCTTAGGGATATTTGCACGAGTCATTGACTTCTCTGTTAAGACCTAGGCAGAGAGTATTGGTTGTCCTTTGACTTACTTTGACTTACCTCGTAGTTACCTTGGAGTGTTTCCGGGGCCGAGCGTCCCCGCGGCCCGGTCGTCGACCAGGCCTCCTTGTTGCTGGACTGGTCAACCAGGCTGTTTGACGTGGCTACTCGCAGCCTGATGTATGAATCACAGCCTGGTTGATTAGGTATCCTTTGGAGGTGCTTATTCAGTTCTCTCTTGAATACTGTGAGGGTTCGGCCAGTTATGCCCCTTATGTGTAGTGGAAGCGTGTTGAACAGTCTCTGGCCTCTGATGTTGATAGAGTTCTCTCTCAGAGTACCTGTTGCACCTCTGTTTTTCAACGGGGGTATTCTGCACATCCTGCCCTGCCTCCTGGTCTCATGTAATGTTATTTCTGTGTGCAGGTTTGGGACCAGCCCCTCTAATATTTTCCACGTATAAATTATGTATCTCTCCCGCCTGCATGCAAGAGAATACAGATTTAGGCTCTTTAGCAGTCCCAGTAGTTTAGATGTTTTACTGAGTGGATTCTAGCAGTAAAGGATCTCTGCACGCTCTCCAGGTCAGCAATTTCTCCAGCTCTGAAAGGGACTGCCATTGAGCAACAATACTCCACTCTAGAGAGCACTAGCGTCTTGAAAAGTATCATCATCGGTATAGCATCTCTGGTGTGAAAAGTTCTTGTTATCCAACCTGTCATTTTTATTGCAGTTGTGACGGCTACTTTATTGTGTTCTCTAAAGGTAAGGTCTTCCAACATGAGTACACCAAAATCCTTTACATTGCCTTTTTGTTCTATGTTATGATTTGCCTGAGTTTTGTACGTGGTTTCCGTTTTTATATTTTAATTTTTTCCGTAGCGCACGAGCTGGAACTTATCTTCGTTAAGCACCATATTATTTTCTGTAGCCCATAGAAAGACCTGATTTACATCTGGAAGTTTGCCGTGTCCTCTATGTTGTCTACTCCCATAAAAATCCTAGTGTCATCTGCAAAGGATGATACAGTGCTATAGACTGTGTCCTTGTCTATGTCAGATATGAGGATGAGAAAAAGTACTGGAGCAAGCACAGTACCCTGGGGGACTGAGCTCTTCACGGTTGATGGACCGGATTTTATTTTATTGACTATTACACATTGGGTTCTGTTAGTCAGGAAATTGTAGATCCATCTGCCTATTTTTCCGGTAATTCCTTTTGAACGCATTTTATGTGCAATAACACCATGGTCACATTTGTCAAAGGCTTTTGCGAAATCTGTGTAAATTACTTCAGCGTTTTATTTGTCTTCCATGGCATTTAATGCCATGTCATTGTAGTTCAGCAACTGTGACAGGCAAGAGCTCCATTTTCTGAAACCATGTTGTCCGGGGTTATGGAGATGCTGTGATTCCATGTATTTTGTGATCTTACTTTTTAGCACTCTATCCAAGATTTTTATGATGTGCGATGTTATTGCTATCGGCCTGTAATTTTTTGTCTCTGCCTTATTACCTCCTTTATGGAGATGTGCTATCTCTGCTGTTTTTAGTATATCAGGGATAATGCCAGTATCTAAGCTTTGTCTCCAAAGAATGCGAAGGACCTGCAACAGTGTTTTTTTAAGCTCTTGATAAATGTGGAGTTCCAAGAATCCGGGCAGAGTGCATAGACATACTGTTTATGGCTTCTTCAAAATCTAGTGGGGATAGGGTAACGTTTGATATATGATATGATGTTGGTATCATATCCATGAAAGATTCATTTGGGTTATCAATCTTTAGTGTGTTTAATGGCTCGCTGAAAACAGAGTCGTACTGCTTCCTCAGTATCTAGCTCATTTCTTTGTTGTCATCAGTGAAAGTTCCATCTCCCTTTCGCAGGGACGCGATACTAGATGTGGTGTTTGATCTTGATTTTGCATAGGAGGAAAAGTATTTCAGATTTCTCTCTCTTTCACTGATGGCCTTTTGCTCTCTCTGCCTCTCCTGGGTTTTGTATAATTCTTGTAGCTTTAGTTCAATTGTTTCTATTTCTCTACTTAACCTTCTTTGCCATTCTTGAGATAGGGGTGTGACACTCAAGTTGTTCCGCGATTCGTTTTCTTCGCCTATATGGGGAACGACGTTCTTGTTCCAATCTGCATCTCTTCCTCCTTTTTCTTAGGGGTATGCGGTTTGAGCATATTTCTAGTGCTACTGGGCATATTTTTTCCAGGCACTGGTTCAGGTTTGCATTTTCTAGCTGTTCTTCCCAGCTTATTTCTGTGAAGTCTTGGTTTATTTGCTCCCAGTTTATCTGTTTATTATTGAAGTTGAATTTGCTGAAATCTCCTCCACCGGGAATTGGGATTGGTTTTGAAGGTCTATTCCCCAGCGTGTTCTCCTTCGGTTCTACTATTTGCTGGTTTAAGGCAAACCTGTCGCACATCCATAGCAGGTCATTTGCATGTGCCTGTTCATTTAGGCTACTCCCTGGTATTCTTTCTGATATAACTGTGTTAACTAGGTTCTTCCATTTCAGGTGCCGTAGGTTGAAGTCCCCAAGCAGAATGATGTTTGGGGCTAGATTTGTGAGGTTTTCCAAGCAGTGTTCTATTTTCATTTGTTGGTCTTTAAACTGCTGGTGATTTGCCTCCGGTGACTTATATACAAGGACAATAAATACATTTAAGATCTCTATTTTGATTGCTCTTTTGACTTTAATGTTTCTTTGTATGACACTGTGAGTGCTGATAACCTGGTTGTTTTGGCCATGCTTGGTGTCTGTCTTCTGGCACGTGGCCTTGTATCCTGATTGTCCTGCTTGGCTAGCTGCCTTCAGTCCCTGATAAATCCCTTCATGGGGTTGCTAGTGTGGTTGGTTCAGCTTGTCAAGTCTGCACCTCCCCGAGAGGGGGAGGGGGGTCC